GGAACCAGCTTCCAGTGTTTGCTCCTGAAGCCTGTCTAGATTATTTACCAGATGAGTTTAAACTTAATAAAGCTCACGCCTCAGGCTGCTGGATGATTCACCGAACCCTTTTCTAGCATTATTGGAATCTTCCCTTTTAATTAAATAATTACTAGATGTTTTCTCTGTGTTAAACCTACAGAAGTTTCTTCTTTGCCCTCTTTATGTGCTCAGAAACCCCCTTTTCTGTCCGAGATTATGTTTCAGAGAAGATGGTGGTGGACTTTAAGAAGGACGGACGCTCTCCGTCCTTCTTAAAGGACATTGGAGGATCGGTGGTGGAGGTGGTTTCCAGGGTCCATGGCGTACATTTAGGGTGATGACTTTATGTGGAGAAGGATAAAACTCCACCGTGGTGCAAAAGATACACCAGCGTCTCCATGTCTTCTTGAGGCTGAGGCGTGTAGCTCTGAGGAGCTCAGCTCTGACCAACAGATGTCGGACCAGAGGAACCCCCTGGTCACCGCTGAGAGGCATCAGGAGCAGAACCACTAGTCCAAATAAATCAGGATCAGGCATCCATTAAAGCTGCAGAACCAGTAACTCCATTACACTGACTGCCTTCTTAGGAGGAAAACCTTTCAGCAGGATTTGAGTTGGATGTAATAAGAACTGAATCTAACCCTGAGTTTACTGGATCTCAGCTGAATGGATTGATCCTTCTTAAAGAACCTTTAGATCTGTTGTGAATTTAAGCCATAAATAAAACTTTGACCTGGGATGAGAATTGATCTTATTTAAGCGCAACAGTGAGAAGATCGAGGATTTTATAATACTCACAGCTTTCTTCCTCTGATATTCCCTCAGAATGCCGTTAATCCGTTCTTTCTCCTGAAACAGAACCAAAGCTTTAGCAGACAGAAACATCAACTCCACATCCTGCTGGCTCATCAACGGGAACGCTACCATTTGACTCGCAGGCCTGGAGGGGAGGCTCTGAATCATCTCATCCATCTCCTCAAACTTCCTGGCCATGGCCTCGACCTCAGCATGCAGCTCCTTGTACTCAGCATACTGGTCGTTGAAGACGGCCCTGTACTGGTCCCGCTCCTCATCGGACTTGATGCTGGGATACTTTCTGAAAAGAGAAAGATGAATCCAGTAAATCTCAGAGAATACATCCCAAAAGATATAAATCCACTGTTCAGCTTTCCAGAAAGCTTGAACTAAAACATAAAGTGGTGTTTATTATATTTGCTTTAGTAATAAAGAAGAAACACAGAGGAGAACATTTTAAAGTTGATTTTTAGTTAGCTGCTTTGTTCCCTAAACAGCTGTTCATGTTTCCTGAACCTGAACCAGATGATTGTTCGCATTCTGAGTCCCACAACCTCAGGCAGCCACCTTTAAAAGTTCCTCTGTCTCGATGGAAGTGGATCTGCTGAGATCACAGGACATGGAGCGCTTTCTGAACATGCAGAGATTGTGGAACCAACAATCAACTGCATTCAGCGACTGGACTAGCTAGATCCTAGTGAGATCAGAGAATGAGCTTTTAAAGGCTGAGGTCTGTTAAGATGTGGGATGTATTCAGATTTCAAATTCAACTGTTTCTATCATAGATGAAACCACTGCAGGAACCAATCCTGCTTTTATCTAACATAGAAAGTATTCCTAGGTTCCATTAGGTCTCTCACACAGGGGCCTGGTTCTACTAGGGTTTGCTGTTAAAAGGAGTGTTTTCCTCTCCACTGTCGCCACATGCTGGTCCTACAGTGGTTTAATGTCATCAGCTGGGTTTCTATAGATGGAAGACCTTTTGACCATCAAACAAAGCCCACCCTTCACAGTGTTGTTAATCTGGATCACATTGGAATATATTTGAATAATTTAAATCCATATGATTGGACCAAACCAATTATCTTATGTTTTAAATTCTTGATTTATCTTCATGTAGATAAACTAGAATTAAATAACTGATTTCAAAATGGCCTTCAGGTTGTTTTTATTTCTGATCAGAGCTTCAAAATCAGAGGTCAAATTAAAGAGTTTCTAGAATCAATCCAGGTTCTTTCATCTCAGGAGCTTGTTTTCTCCCATTTCCAGAAATGTGGTAGAATAAACAGTATTAAAGTGAGACACTAAAGCAGAAAGGCAATGGAGAAATGACCCCGAATGTGGAACTCACGCAACATAGTCTGCTATGATGACAGGTTTGGGGATATAGCCCGCTGGTATGTGGCCTCGGAGAATCTCTGGTTCGGCCGCCATCAGAGGAGCGGCCGCAGCGCTGCTCGACCCATTCATGATGTCAGGCGCAAGGGTGGGAAGAGGAGTCGGTGCCGAGGCTTTGGAGGCCGAATCCAGCTACAGGAGAAATATCCAGCATCAAATATCTATTCAGGAGCAAAAAAAACCCAACAGAACATCTGGATACTCACTACAGACAGCGGGAGGGAAGATCCGATGGTCTTCATCTAGAATTGTTGATATGGAAGGAAGAAACAGCAGGTTATTAGTAACTTGTTTACACGTACATTCTGTCTACATGCATCTTTTTGAGGCTTTGGTCTTGTTCAAAGTGAAAAACTAAAATCCAACAGATATACAAAAAAAGAAAAGATTGGTGAAGCTTTTTGATGCTGCATTACAGAAACAAATACAGAGGAGAAGAATCGGTTGCCATGGTTACTTCTTTATAATTCCTACATGCAAAAATAAATGACCAGTGTTATCAAGGAAACTTTGAAGACGTGTTGTAATGAAGTGTTTTCTATTAAAAACTGCATGACCTGATGGAAGATATACCTTATATCTTTTTAAAAGTATCATCCTGACCAGAGCTCATAAAAAGTTTGTTTTTCTACATTTTCATCTGTTTTGTGGTAAAGATTTTTACACTGGATGTGACCAATTCTCTTCAGCTGGATGTTTGTCAGACCATCTGCCAATAAAAATCTAGATATGCCTGATGCTTTTAATGCAGCTTTCTAATCCCATCGGTATTGGACCCATCCACACATGGAGACTGAGATAAGCCTTCAGAAATCACATTATAGCTGTACTGTTAATGCAGATCTGTGAGAAGACAAAGAAGGAAAGAGCTGTTTGAGTCAGACCTCCTGCTCCATCGCCTCCCTCCTCATCCTGGCCGCTTCGTGCCTCCACAGCTTCAGACAGACTCCTGCGCTGATGAAGTAGAGCACCATTGTGAGGAACAGGAAGATTATGGCCGCTGTCTGGCCCGCCTCTGTGCGACAAAACGCCCCGTTTACTGGATTGTTGAAGACGGGCGAGTTGCATAGTCCTCCTCTGGTGGTGTCCCTCACGTAAACGATGCCTGCCGCCATGTAGAGCACAGCCAACACCAGGTTGATGGAGCACTCTGTCAGGGGCCACCAAGACGAGTCGAGAAGAATGGCTCTGTAGTACAGAGTCATTCCGAGAACAAGGAGAATAACAGTGACAATCCACGCCAGCCCCGCCACAACCAGGACAAAGGGCGTCTTGGGGCCTGTGTAGGTACTGCCCCCACCTCCATACACTTGAGCGGCTCCACCAAGTCCTCCATACACCTGCGGCTGGGAGTATCCATACATGTTAAACCATTCATTGTCCTTGTGAACGTAAGCGCAGACACATGCAAACACTGCGGCTCCAAGTAGCAACTGTACAGCGCCCAAGATCCTGAGCAGGCCAGCCCAAGACTTCATGTAGGCATAGCGCAGATGGTACTCCTCCACGCGTTCTATGTAGGTCTGGGCTGACAGGTTACTCGGCGCGGCAGAAGCCAGATCAATAGCTTCAGCACCCAGCAACAGTCCATCTCGCTCCTTCTGTGTGGTGTAACTCCCTCCAGACCCACCGTAGGGGTCCCGATAGGAGCCAGGGAGTGAGGGAGACGGAGGGGCAGAGTTTGGTGGTGAGCAGGGGATCCCCATCGTGGTTTGGGAGACAGTGCCCTTACTGGCTGAGGGGGCAGGGGATTGACTAGCCGAGGAAAGGGGCCAACCCTTGCTGCCCTGTTTGCCGCTGTTTCCCCGGAAAAAGTTTTTGACAGAATCAGGAATAAAGCGACGGACCGGCTTGATGTCCATGGCGTCACAGTCCGCCTCTGCCGGTTCCTCATCACCGGAGTCGTAGAAAGTGTCAGGCCCCACAGCTGGCTGCTCAGGTAGGGGAGGAGGGGGGAGGGGGTCTAAGCTGAGTGCTGGGGTGGTGGCCTGTAGTGGTGGTGGGGGTGGCGGGGGCAGGTTAGTGTCCCTCCATACAGGGCTCATTGGGACCTGGTCGTAGAGAGGCATTTCCCTCACGCGGTCGAACCTGGAGGCAGACATGGAGACCTGGAACACATTGGATCAATGACTTATCACTGAACCACAGCAGCTTCAGGAGAAACCTTTCATTCAAAGTCCTCAGCAAAACATTTAATATTAACATAAAAGCATTAAAGGACATAATCGTATGATTTATTTTTTTCCTCTGAATCACTGAAGCTGAAAACAGGAGGGAGGAGCAGATAATGTTACTAAGTTGGGGTGAGAATTACTACAGTGAGCTTAAGAGTTTCCAGAAGTTTCCAGAAAATGAGGAAACCCAAAGTTGAAAAGGGATCAGCACATTTCTTTACCTCAGCTGGAAGTTTCTGAGTTTCTACCCTCCGTCAGAAATCCATGACCTTAACTTGTTGTTTAGACTGTTTGCAACAGGGATGTTCACAGGAAAGTAAATACACTTTACATGACTGATGATGTCATCTGCCTTTTTCAGTCTCCAGGTAAATCTCTCTAATAATCTAATGTTTGTAGATTCATTTAAAAGCAGCTTACCTCCAGAAAAGCCTCAGTGTTTTACTCAGAGTGAAGCGGCAGCAGTGGTTGTTGTTGGGTCTCAGGTCGGGAGTAAAAGCATCAATATGCGCTGAGGAAACTGTTCCCAAGTAAAACTCGCCGGGCCAGTCTGACCAGACCAGCCTCATGATGCGTTCACTGACTGCTCTCATACCAGACTTCCTACTTAATGTTGTTTTGGTTGCATTTGTCCCTAATCTTGTTCCTGTAACATAGATTTGGGATGAATCATCTGAATAAAACTATACTGAATTAAATTAATTAGCTAATTAAGTTATTTTGCTTGAGCATACCTCTTCTAAAGGAACTTTAGATTAATCGACCCCCGGTAAACATTTCTTTCAGAAAAGTGAACTTTATAGAGCAAAAAAACATAGATATTGCAGAACATTTTGTGAGATCTTTTTTTCATATCCTGATAGTGAAGTCAATGACTTTATCTGCTGGGTGTCTTTAGATATAAAACTTTAACCAGTCGAAATGCTAATGGAACTTCACTCCTCTATAATCTGGATAACAAGGATCTGACCAATAATCTGTCTGGATGATTTGGTTTCATTGTTCTCGGTGTTTTCCCTTCAGACAACATGAGTTGTTAACAGGCATTATATGGGGAAATTGAAATGACTGAACAGAATGATGAGGGAAGGACTTCAGTGATGCTTGATGCAAGAAAAAACTGGAACTTAATTCACCAGCATACTAGTATGTTTCTGCTTGTGGCCTTCATCAGGGTTAGTACTAATCAACAAGAAATCAGGGTCTAGATAAAATAGTATAATCCAGAAAAACCTTCTAATGAACCAGTCAGACAAATACTGACCAATCAGCTTTCAAGGGATGTTAACTGCTGTTTGGGTTGATTTAGAGCTCAAAAGA